CGCAACGTGCTGCTGCTGGACGCCGGGGACCAGTACCAGGGCACGGTGTGGTTCTCCCGCTTCAAGGGCCGGGAGGTGGTCCACTTCATGAACCTCCTGCGCTACGATGCCATGGTAAAGCGGGCCGGGGGGGGCGGGAGCGGCGCGGTGAGGGGCTTCCCCCCGCCTTGGGTGCTGGGTCTATTCCTCCTTTCCCTCTCCTGCTGCCGTTTTTTGCATTGCCGCCTCCTTGAGTGCGTAGCCTTGCATCAGAGAAGGCTGTAGGTCAGGCTAAAATCATGGGCAAAGGCGGCCGGGAGGTGAGCAAGAAGAGAAGCAATGCACTAGGTGACGGGCACCCGGCCGAATGAAGTCATGAGCTGGCAGCCCCACGGACAGCCAGAAACCGGGAGCTGATGCCAAGGCTACAACAGAGGAAAAGAGTGGTGCAGTGGAAGAGCTCCCCTTGGGAGAGGCAGGGGCTTGGGACGGGCGGGGGACTGGATGGGCTCTGTTGGAGAGGGGTTGGCAGAGGCATGGAAGTGAGCCCAGCAAAAACCGGGCGAGGAGCCTGGCCTGCGATGGAGGGATTAACCCTGGTCGAGGCTCGCAGCCTGCCCTGCCGGCTTCGGTCCTGCGGGAAGGGACAGATGGCACATGTTGGCAGTGCTGTTTCGAGGGGTGAGGAGTTTTAGTTTTCATCAATCCCCACCCTGGTCATGTCCAGTCCCACCAGGGTGGTGGTCATGATGGGGTGTAAGGGGCTGTGTGCAGGTGGCCCAGGGACTGTAACAGCGCATCTGTGAGGGAGCCCTCCGAGACGGTGCCAGTCCTGCACCTTTACTCTGTCTCTTTTGGTCATCCAAGTGCTGAGAGGAAGGTAGAAGAATTTGAGACTGAGGCTGGGGGATGTCACTCCATGTCCTTAAATCTTTTGTCTCAGGGCAATAGCCTATTAATGTATAAAGAATTATCGTGGCATATTTTTCTTGCGTACAACCCCAGAGAGGAGGAGAGAGATTAAAGTTATGTTTGAGAGTGACTGCTCTTTGAGAGTGACTGCGTATTTATTTCATCCCAATTGACAGCTTGAGGGGAAAATCTTCTGTGCATATCACATCCTCTGTCTTCATCTTTTTTGCTTTCTCTGGAAAGGACTGCACTTTCCTTTCCCAGGTAAAAATGGCTTCACCCATTTCTTCCCTCTGCCTCAGAACAGCTACGGAAGGGAAAGGCATGCCCCAGTGCACTTTCCTAGGCTAAACACACTTCATACCAGACAGACGGGTCTGTGAAGCATATTGCTCCCTGTTCACATGGCCTAATGAACGGTTTCCTAATTGTGAAACTAACACTAACGGGGTTTTTCCTCCCAATGGTGACGGGGAGGAGCGTGTGCATTCAGGACTCATCCTCGCTGAGAGCTGGGGAGCACTTTGGGGTTCTGCAGTGCAGAAATAGCTCGCTGCGGTTTTTCCTACCTTTCTTCGCAAAGCTTACTGCTGGCTGTCATTTCTCAGCCTTATGTTTGCTGGTTTGACTGGTTCATGGGCAGGCTGGGAGCTTGTACAGTTCCTGATCATATCACAAGAAGAAATTCTTCCAGGCAAAATCAGCAGTCTCGAACTAGTGCTCAGTTTTAGAAACACGTTGTGTAGGAAGCATCTGCTGGCTGTTTAGGAGATCCCATGAGCTTTTTCATCAGAATAAGATTAAAAAATAATTCCACACCATACTGGATAGCCAGAGGCTTGTACTGGATGCTAATGCCTTAGGTGAATAGTCAACTACTTGCTCTCTGTGGAGGTGCTGCATATTATAATTTGAATATTGTCAGTGGATAGAAGGGGACAGCGTAGACTGAGAAGCTGCAGAGACTTCAGCATCTTTCTCTGCTACCAAAGAGCCTGAGGACAGATGCTGAGTGTTGGGCAGCGGCTGCAGCATCCTTTTTGATTCTTCTGTCCGTGGGCCATGGGGACTGTGCAGTGGGGATGGTGGCTGGGGGGGCACAGGGAGCAAGGTAAGAGCCGCACTGCAGAAGGGTGAGCTAGTGTTTCTTTAAGCAAAATTCGGGAAGTCACATCCGTAACAGAAGGGGTGGGGATTACTGAAATGGTTAGAAGTGAGATACAGGAATAGAATTACAAGTAGGATGAAGGAGGGGACATGAGTCATAGAAGTTGTTAGAGGATGGGGGCAGGAGCCATAGGAGGATTTAGGGCAGCCTGGCAGCGTTAGAGGTTTGTTCCATGAATGGGACAAATTTCCTTTTTTAGGTTTGCCCTTTTCTCATTTATCACCTATTTTCTCCTGTTTAGCTAGGTATTGCCTTCCAAATTTTCTTGGCACTGGCCTTGCTTTTTGGTGTAATTAACACCAAAATCCAAATTAAGTACCGCAAAGGCAGTAGTTGGAGGGTTTTACTTTTAAGTTGCATCCTTCTGCTAATTTGTATCCTGATTTTGAAATATTTTTATCCTGGTTTCTTGTGAAAAGGAGGATTATACGATCACATGCTGTGTGCCTGAATATTTCTGTTTATTTCCCCTTGTGACTTACACTTGTGCTGGCCAATGGATTCTGATTTGGTGAAGGGATATGGCACAGGTACAGAGTCCTCGAAGCTCTGGGCGTAAGGGTAGTTAGATGTGAGTACAGGAACCCAAAACAGTCCACATCCTCTTCCCTAGAGGAGAAGCTGCATCAAAAATAAAACTGATTATTAGCCACCAGTGATTTCTCATGAACAAGAGACTTTATAACCACCCACACCATGGGAAAAGTTTTGATCAAAGCTTGTATCCTAATGGACATGAAATAATCCAAATGCAAGATACAAAGCCAAGAGAAACAAGGTTTCATTAGTGGTTGGTTGGGGTTTTTTTCGCAACAAGCTAATAGCAGTTACATCCAATTCAAATTCTTATTTCATTTGCAACCTTTTTTTGGGGGGTTAATTGCGTATTTAGGAGGAACAGAAGGCATATGCATCAGCCAAAAGGAAATAGCTTGTTACCATTCTGAGATGCTCCACCAGTCCACCAGTGGACCTTTTTTCAGAACATCAGTCAGCATCAAAATGAGTTTCCTTAGAGTGTTATTCTTTTTTTATTTTTATTTTTTACAGCAAGTTAGATGGCTGTTAGAATACGGTTAGAAATGGAATATAGTTGGAGTACATTGTGTCTTCCCAAGTCAGGATTTTTTCAAAGATGGTTCTCAGTTCTTTTGGAAAAGTGCTGCAGCAGCATGCAAACAATTTGGCTCCTTCCCTGGGGTGTGAGTAGTGTTCTCACTACCATCAGCAGGAGCAGTTGGTTGCCAATGCAAGTTACTGCCGATATCCTGATTTTTCCACAGGGCCATTGACTACCTGCCTGTGGGGATCAGAGGAGTCAGGAGTCTGTCTCTCCCCCAAAAGAGAGACACTGCCAATCAGTTGATTGAAATACTGAGTTTCCATGCCTGTAGTGGCTTCAGGGTCCTGCTTGGGTTGAAACGTGATCAGGGTTAATACAGTCTCTTTGGGGAATAGAAGTTGAAACAAGCACATGGGGGTTTTTTATCTAAGTAGAGCAGGGAGGTATATAAGTCTTTTTAGATGATGAATGTGACTTTCCCCACTTAATCTTCAGAATGAAATTATGAGCACACTTTTGTCTAGAAGAGTTGGCCCGTTGGCTTTAGCACCCCTTTCATACTCTGCTCTAGTTACCACCTGAAAACTTGTACCAAGTTACCATGTACCAAGTTACGCTATTACCACGTTTCTATAGATAGATCTTTTCCTTCACTAACACCTAAATATGCTACAAGGTTCTTGCGTATATTGTGCTTCTGCAAAGTTGCCGTCTATGGAGGTTTTGCCAGCTATTGCCAAACTTGCAAGCTCGGGCATGTGGCAACAAGCTGAGCATGAAAAAGGGGCGGGTAGGAGAAAGTTCCATGGTCCTTTAAGGTAAGTCCATTTTTGACTGCTTAACCAACCTAGAACAACTAAACATTGTCATCTTGTTGGTATTACCTTGCTAATAAATAAACTGGACTGCTCATTTTGTGTGATAGTCTTAGCGCTTCACAGTGTTATACACACACCTGCATGTGTGCTCACACACGTAGTATGGATTGTCTATGGAGATTCTCCCTAGCTGATAAACATTAGGGCTTCCACTAGGTCATGATATTGATGATGGCTAGAAAATCATATTTTCTTGTTACATCTTAAAGCACACAAGAACTCTGACTAAATGTGAATTAAATATGTTTAAAAAACTGTAGTCCAAGCACAAGCTCTTAAAATGCATGTTTTATTTAAAGATAACATATATTGCCATTGGCATGTAACATTTTCTTCAGTATTTTTTTAAACAATGTATTTTCCGTACACAAAATACATGTTTTCCTTTGTGGTTATTGTTAATCATCTTTCTTGCAGTTACAGGATGAAAAACCAGTGGGTTTTAATCTGGTATATGATTACAAACACTTACTTAGATAGGTTTTAGATTTTAGGTATTGATATTTAGATTTTTTAGGTATTGATATAAGAGAGTCTGAAAAGCAAAAACCTAAACCTAAAGAAAATAACATTTCTGTGTTTGTGAGAAACAGGAATGTGCTGTTTTAGACAAGATAGGGTTTTCTTCTCTAGAACATAGACTTTGTTTTCTGAGACATACCTTGTATATCGTTTATGAGAGTATTTAGACTGAATATTGGAGGTAAGGTCTTATATTTTCTTCTTGCTTTCCACAGGCTTTGGGGAACCATGAGTTTGATGGAGGTGTGAGCGGATTATTGGATCCTCTTCTTAAAAATGCTACTTTTACAATCCTGAGTGCAAACATTAAGGGGAAAACCCCATTAGGGAACGAAATGATGAAATACGTTTATCCTTTTAAAATAGTACATTTTGACTCAGAATCAGTAGGAATTGTTGGCTACACTACAAAGGAAACTTCTTTTCTTTCACAGCCAGGTATGTTTTCTTTAGTATATAAGTTTATATCCTTTGTTACTATTTTATTACTTGCCCGCTTGTTTGAATCCAAAGATGAGCGTTTTCAGCTGAGAAGTGAGAAGTTTGTTGTTTTATCAGTATTTACTTGTATTATTCAACTTTGTAACTGCCCGATTTTTAAACTGGAGAAGGCTTGTTAACATTAAAAGCCATTTTCATACAGACCTGAATTATTTAGCATCACTGAATTATCTAAGAATATAAGGTCAGTGAGATTGCAGGAGAGCTGGGGGGCCTTTGGGGTTTTTATTTGTTTGTTGGGTTTTTAAATGTATATTCTTTTCTATTTTATTGTTATTTATCCATTTAAACAAATGTTAAAACATGAATACAGCTTGTCTCTAGAGTGAAATATGTTCAAACCAAGACATTTCTGTGTGTTGAAATTTTGCTCTTGGATGCCTCCATGCGCAAGCCCTAGTAAAAGCAAGGAGAGCTTCATATGTGTTTTTGAAGCAGAAGTTGCCCAAGACGTTTTTAGCCTCTCAAATATTTCCAGAAATTAGACTACAGAAGGAACACCCATTCAGCTTTTACCACAATTGCTTCATTCATGAGTAAAATTAGACTTGATGAGGAAAAAGACTTCTCAATTTCTGACTATTTTTTCCAACATTTAAGGGGTTTTGGTTTGTTGAGGTTTTTTTTTTTTTTAGTAAAATGTAATGGTGTATTGGAATGAGAAACACATTTAAATCAGCTGTAGGAGATCTGAGTCACTGCGTGCTCAACACTCAGCCCCCCTCTGACAAAATCAGACTTTCTTCCCTGGTTTTTGCAGCAGGGATGCCCTAAGCAGCGGTTTAAAACATTTTCCACACTGAAAAAGGACTTCATATTATTACGTGTCTTTCCATTGCTTAGTAATAAAGAAGTAACGCATAGCTTTCTTGAGAAAAGGAATATTCAATACTTTGAGGAAGTATTAGAATATAAAACTGTTCCTTCTGTGCTTTTTAATACCTATGCTGTATGTTTAAACTCTCAGGAAGCAGACATCTGAGGTCAGAATAGACTTCTGTATCTCACTTCTATTTTACAGTGATGTGTTTTTAGAGTCCTTTCTTTGTTTCCCCCAACGAAAAAGAAAATTGATCTGTATTTTGTGTAGGCAATAGAATTTCACCTGTGCTTGAGGGCATGAGGGTAGATATCATCTGACATCACGCTAAGTTTGAAAAATGGAGAGCCGGCCAATATTGTTCTTCATTAAGGATTAATAAAATAGATCTCAGCTCTTCTTCCAAACAACTGTGTTGGTGTGGTGAGGTCATCAAATTAACTTTCTTGCGAATAAATATACTAGAGGAAAATCCAGATAGTGTTGGAATGATTCTCTGAAGCATTTAAATACATTTCCAATAACATCTAGACATCATATTGAATGCCTCAGTATGCTGAGTCATTATAACAGAGACCACAACTAGAAAAAACAGTGTTAAAAGGAAGGCTTGTTAATAAATATACTAGAGGAAAATCCAGATAGTGTTGGAATGATTCTCTGAAGCATTTAAATACATTTCCAATAACATCTAGACATCATATTGAATGCCTCAGTATGCTGAGACATTATAACAGAGACCACAACTAGAAAAAACAGTGTTAAAAGGGAAGGCTTGTTAGCTCCACAGATGGAGCTGAAGCAGCCCTAAGCTAAGTATATCCCACAGTTTAATTGAGCAACAAGCAGGGCAAATTCTAACAGCAACATTTATAGTGCTCAGAGTTTTTATAATTTTTATAATTTTCCGCTTTGCCTTCTCAGTGTGTGGAGGAACATTTGGAAACTTTGAAAATGTGAATTCAGGGCATGTTAATGTAACTCAGTGACTAGATATCACCCGTGACCTAGCAATGCTTCAGACTGATAAAATCATGGCAGAGGTGGGTCGGTGGCAAAATAATTATCAACCTACTTCCTTAATTCAATGAATAAGATACGTTGTGAATTTTAAATTGTGAATGTGATTTCTTCTACTGTTAAATCTCAATAACTTCCACACAATTATGAAATTACAACTTGTACTTTTCATAGTCTGCTTAAAACAGCTATCAACATACTTGGACAGAGTATAAAGCCCTTAAACCTCAATGTTTCCATTGTGAAGGAACAATTATCCTCTGCTGAAGGTACTGTTAATATTACTGTTTGGAAACCATAGGGGTGGGGAACCACAATTTATAGATTACAGCCAATTGGCAGTTTTTCTAAAGTTCTCCTCTGTTTTGCTGTATACAGCTATCTCAGCTGAATGCCCAGCCAGTTTTTCCATGTCCTGCAAGAGCTGTTTATAACTTGGCACATAGACAGAGTTGTCTATGTATTTGCTTTGCACTGATAATCCCAAGACCATCTTTCTAGTATTTGATGGTACCAGCTCGCTCGCGTTAGTTCTGCAATGATGTTGTAAACCCCACAAAATAGTTAATGTCTTTATCTGTCCTGAGAGATGCTACATACACATTTGGTGCTGTGAAATAATATATCTCATTTTGTCCACTGTCTTTTCGTATAGGGTGGAAACCCAAAGCTGCTTACTCTGTAACCCTACCAGCGGCAAAATATTTACTAAAACTATCAACTTGGCAGAGTTTTCTAAAATGGAATTTTAAATTCCATTTTTCCACTTTATTCTGGCTAGCTTGCGTAATATTTTTAACATGCAGCCAGTTCTTTTTCCTTGTTCATTTATAGCACAGTTTGGGTGTTTTATCTGAAACTGTACCCCATCTAAAAAGAGAAGAGGATGTCACATCAGTTTAATGCCTTGAAAGAGAAGTGAAATACTGACACGAGCAATAACTAACTCTTAAATAAGCACTTTATTTCAATTCAGATTGTTTTGAAAAATGCGCAGCTGAGTGCTAAGTGGTATATTGCTTTTTGCCTGGTTTCTTAGAGAAATGAGCACTGTGTAATTGCTCTTACAGTCCCCCGCTGTATAACTTTTGAACCTGCCGGCCCATTTCAGCTCAATTGGATCAAGCACTGAGATGACTAGGATCCGAAGCTGTGTGAGATGCCACAGCTCGGTCGTGGAGAGGGGGTGCAGGAAGCCCCTGCAGCCCCCAAGCAGGAATCCCTTTCTGAGGGCGAGGTGGGCAGCAGGCAGTTGCTGGGCGGGTGGGTTGGCAGTGCCAAGGGCTGCCCGGGGGGGCTGGGGGGCGCCCGCCCCCCCCCGCCCGTCCCCCCCCCCCCCCTGCCGTAACAGTCCCAGGAGAGAGATGGACTTACTGGCATGGGACAGGCCTTGTTTTTCCCCTCGTCCTGAAAGGAGGTTTGTTTCTTTTATTATGGATTGAGGATTAATAATAACACGTCTTCAGTGTATGGTGCATTGTAGGCTGCAGTGGCGTAGAAGGGTAACAGAGCTGGTGCTGATGGGGAGACCTTCGTTATCGTGGGCCACCTGGCTGCATGCCATGGGAGAAGTCAGCCTGCAGGGAACTGCGTGCGAGCACAGCTAGTCAGCGGCTCGCTCTTGCTCTTCGTTAGAGAGCTCAGCTCTCCTTACAGAACTGGTCCGCACACCGTAGCTGGTGCATGGGTGGTGAGATGAGCACGTGAAGGGCCTACACTCAAGGAGCATTTCTTGGACTTCCCCTTTTGCCAGTAGCTCTGCATCAGGCCCAGCTTCTGTCAAGCGCAAGGATGTACAAAGAGGGGCTGAAGCCGGTGGCTTCCTTCAGCCTGGAGAAGGAAGGGTAAGGGGGAGCTAAGTGCAGTCTTCCGCTGTCTTAAGGGGGTTTATAGAGAAGACAGGGACAGACTCTTCCCAGAGGGGCACAGAGAAGGGACAAGAAACAATGGGCTCAAGTAGTACCACAGGAAATTATGGTGGGACGTAAGGAAAAAATTTGTCACGGTAAGAGCAGTTAAGCCATGAGACAGGTTGCCCAGAGATGTTGTGGAATTTCAGCTTGCTTGGACAAGACCCTGAGCATCCTCATCTGGCTTTGAGTTCCTGCTTTGAGTGGGTTTGGGACTAGATGGCCCCCGGAGGTCCCTTCCAGCCTCAATTAACTTACGATTCTTTGATTCCAAGAAGAGGTCCACAGGAAGAAAATGTGGGGATGCACCGCACAATTCACTCTGTAATGTGCAGTACAGAGATTCCCTCTGGCAGTAACAGAACTATTCAATGGGTGTGGTGGTGAACCAATTTATGTAAGCCTCTTTTATCTCTCCCATTGTAGCAGCTTCCTCTTCACTTCCTGAGACATTTTGCACTCGATTGTGAATTCGTTTCACTCCTCCCTTTGTTACGAAATAATATACATCTTTTAACTTTAAAGGCATATTTCAAAATGGTTTGATCAAAAAACTCTGCAGGAAGGAGAAGAATTAGATAAAGGGGAAATTGGTAGAAATGTTCCTCGGTTGTCTTCACCGGAAAGTGAAGACTTTCATATTACAGTTTGTTGACTTTATTCTTAAACTCTATTCTTAAAACTTCATCAAATAAATTAGCCTCCTACATAGGAAGTCCTTTTGCGCAACCCAAAACACTGTGCCCAGGATAAAAGTGCATGTTTGTCTAGTGCTCTTGTAACTGTTTGTCATGTTAGAATAATTTCAGTGGGCACAGAAGCCTTGCAGAAAGATTGCGAGTTTCCCAACACTGTGGTCCGGAAAAGGTTTCTCCTCTCTAGACTTTCTGTTCTTTATGTTCTCGTTTCAGGATGGTAGCTCAGTTGTGTGCTGTGCTGTATTGGTATTACTGAGAGTGGTTCACATTAGGTGAGATAATTTGTGTAAAAAGGCAATTCAGAGCGTAGTGCAGGACTTTGAAGAAGCTGCTGTTTAAAGCCTTGGGGGGGGTGGAGAACGAGATGAGTGTGGAGTAAAAAGATATTTAACTCGGGAGGAGGTAGAAGATCTCAAAGAAATATAATTTGGGAAGGAAAAAAGCTTTATAGTACAATACAACTGTTTATACTCAAACACTTACTGACATATTTAGTTTCCTTTCTCTAGTTAAATAATAAAAGCCATTCAATTTTTGATCCCACAATTGGTGTCACTGGAGTTTTTTTATGGAGTTACAACTTGTTTAGTACAGGCTAGTGCATACAGCTCAGTGCAGGAATGTTGTATTAGTCTCAGCCCACAGATGCTCCTGAGAGACTGGAGAACATCAGATCAGATCAGGAGCTTGAACCAGCTAAGGGCATTTGAAAGCCACTGACATTCAAAGTTCCATTAATTATACAAAATAGTATCTGATATCAACTACTTTTTTTTTAACTAGTAATTAAGGTACTTTGTAAGTACATTCATGTTTGTTCTTTTTTTTTTAAGGGGATGATATAATCTTTGAAGATGAAATTGAAGCATTGCAAGTGCAAGTGAATGAACTTACTGCTATGGGAGTGAACAAAATAATTGCACTAGGACATTCTGGTTTTACTGTGGACAAAAATATTGCCCAAAAAGTGAAAGGGTAAGTACTCTCATGTTTGTTCTTTTTTTTTTAAGGGGATGATATAATCTTTGAAGATGAAATTGAAGCAGCAAGTGCAAGAGAATGAACTTACTGCTATGGGAGTGAACAAAATAATTGCACTAGGACATTCTGGTTTTACTGGACAAAAAAATTGGAGGACACACAAACACTTTTCTCTATACAGGTATTTTACTTCTTACTAAAATGTTGCTTCTAAAGCAAAGCTGAAACTGTTTCTCTTTAAACTGGGAGAACTTCCACAAATACAGTTTACTGCTGGCTGTACTGGGCCAGATTCATAGCTGGTACCTATCCATAACTTCCATGGAAGAAACGAATTTAAAACAGCCTGCGAGCAAGAAGTGCCCTAACTCACTGAAAGGTTCCTTAACGCTGTGGACGTTCAAGGTGACCTATACAAAGCAGGACAGAGGAACAAAGGTAGTAATACTGGTAAATTACTGCCAAACATATTGTACCTGTTTCAAGCTCACGCATATAAAGGAGTAAATAAGATGTTTACATTTAAACTTGCATGTCGCTTAACAAAAAAAATTAGTCATGTAAGACTTCAAAAGTGATGCCGATGTTGATTTTCCATAGAATCTGATTCTGTATTCATAGGTCTCCATTAGCCCTGCCATGAAAAAACTTCTCCCAAGTTTCCTCTGTCTTTTTCAGTCCCTCTTTTAATCGCTGACTTTGCTCTTCTTTTCCCTAGAGGTAGACATCATTCCAGAGATAAACATTGTTGATCTGATTTCTTCCGCAGCAACGCTACTTTAGGAACCTGCCATCAGCAGCTTCTCCAGTGCTGCTACCTTCCCTGTGCCGGTGTGTAAGGACACAAGTAGAAGAAAGGCTGGGTTTTTTTTAAACCATCAAAGATAGCTCATTAAATTTAGCAGAAACTTCATTAACTGGTTGAGACTATAACAGGAACTTTCTGTAATTTTCAGCAAAATTTCCCTTGTGCCCTAGTCACAGGGATAGCACCATGTACCCTAGGACCTTAACCACTTAAAGGTTTTTGCGCTGTCCGTTTCATCCTCTCCCTACTCATCTCCTCTCACTTTCTCATGCCTTTTTTGTCTCATCTGGGCTCTCACCTTTTACTATCCCACTTGTTAAAGAGAAACAATTGAACGCTACAGTTATACATTAAACAGTTTGGAATATATCTTGAATTTGGCCTCAGGGAATAACTTTGCTCACTAAGCTGGAGCCACAAAGCATTTACACACCTACCTACAAGTCAGAGGCCGCAAACACTTAGCGCAGGGGTGCAGCAGCAAAGTGGCCAAACTGGAACAGATGACAGGACCATTCATCCCAATGTGCCACATCTGTGGAGGTGATTTGACTGCGGGGTAAAACATCTGTGTCAGTATGTGTGTGTCTATGTGTAAGCCTATAAGCTCTCATTTAAATCCAGAGACGTAATTAGTAACTGGCAGCAGAATTTGGGAGAATGTTTCAGCTCAGTCTAAGTGGAGACGTACCAGCTGGTCAGCTGAATCTCTGGCAGTCATGGGAGTTGAGAGACATACTGCCCATGCCGACACCTCCATAGAGATATCTTAATATAAGGGCCTAATCTTGGACTAGTCCAACCTATCTGTCTCTAAGACATTTGCAAATCTCCGGTTTATCCACAGATTATGTGGCAAATGTTGTCTTGACTTGTTCAGGTGTGCTTTGGGTTTGTAGAACTGATTCAAACAGTAAGGGTAGTTTTAGGTTAGAGCATTTTAATTTCTGGTTTTCATCAGAAAGGATCTTCTGAGAATGTAGTCTGTTGGCTAAAACAAGGTAAGAAAATAGGAAAGTGTTACAGGCTCTTCAGTTACCCAGTATGAATTTGTGCATTTGTAATGAAACAGCATCTCACACTTTGACTGAGATGTGTGCATGAATTCTAGTGCTGTTTTCTTTGAGGATAAGATGCACTGAAGTGTCTTTTCATTTCAGAAGGAACACATCTATCTTACAATGGAATAATGTCGTAGTGATAATTAATCCTGCAAGAAAGTATCAGTATCAGAAAGTATTTCTTCAGAAAGCAAGAAATGAATAAGGCTCTGGACAAGCACTTAACCGTGCACAGCTGATGTAAACTAAATTGATGACCAGAAAGCATAACTTTCTCTTGCTAATGCTCTGTTCATTCAAGGACTACTCAAGGGCAAGAGATCAAAACCGATTCCTTTTTCAGTTCCAAAAAACCCAAAGCCACTTTTGCATGCATAAATCCTGCAGGGTTCTTGTTAGCTACAGGATTTCTTAAATTCTTCCCAAAATAAATATCGAACAGTGAAGAGGCACCACCAAAAAACCAACTCTGTTGGCCAGGCTGAAAGTAGAAAAACTAGTTCTCCGGTAAATTTGGTTCAGCTTGTAGTCTGTTACAGCTGTTCTTCCTGGACAAGAGGAGGGATTAAAGATAAACATGAATCATACTGGAGTTCTAGGAGGAACATTTGTCATGCTGCTTATCGCAGGACTTCATATTATGTAAACAACTGTAAATGGAAGGAAACCAGTTCTCTGAGCAGTGGAAATGAAGAGCCTGCTTTCCTCTGGATCCATGTCCTCTGCGCCCGCTCCCCCATGCCCTCGCCCCACCGGCACCCCAGCTCTCACTGACACATGGATGGGAAACGCCACCGGCTTCGGGGCAGGAGCGAGCAGCGGGCTTTGAGGGGGCTCTGCAGCGGGGCCTGCCGCACAATACATGATGCCTCTTGGAGCTGCCCGACCGTGATCTTTGCTGACAGTGGGGTAGAAATACTGACAGGAATAACGGGGGTGTGATACTACTCGGATAATATTGTCAAGGAGACAGGGAGAAGGCTGGTACCCTTGAGACAAGAGCTGTACCGTGTAGTTTTCTTTGCCGTTTCCTCCCCTGCGTGGTTTCTAAATGCTGTGGTAGCCGATGCCGATTGAGCTGAGATCTCTTTTCTCTGTAAATGCCTTGCTTTAATCTATCTGTTTCCAAATTCTACATCTAATCACCCTTCAAACTTTGCAGGTTGATAAGAGTTTTAAATCCATGACCACATAACTCTAATGCTAATGAAGTTTGCTTTTGCGGGGGGTTTGCAGGCTGTCTGAAATTTTGGAGGCTAAGTTTGGTATAGTAAGAAAAAATCAGTTGGGTGTATGCACAAATTCACGGAACTGCTTGTAGGTATTCTGACTGCATATTATCAATAAAAATAGTTTAGACCTTTTCATATCAAGAAGTCCTATGTATGTTTTACTAACATTCTCATTTTCTATCTGATGCAGAATAATGTAGTGTGAAGGCTTAACAATAAACTTTTCAGGCAGAGGCTAGTATGTGTGCATTACTGAGAGGTTTAGATTGAAATAATTGGAATGAAAAGTTCCTTTGTTGCTATTGTGACATGATGTCATGGAGGAGTGTGCTGTCACAACTTAAAAAACACTGTGGCAGTTATTAGAGCTCATGTCCTGAAAACAACATTGTCTCTTATGAAATAACATAACTGAACAATCAAATGTGTGCTTGTTGTCCAATACGTTCATTGTTGTTTCCACTTAATATCCAATTTGGTTTTTTTAAGGCTGAGAAACATTTGAAATGTCATTCTCATAATTCCTTGAAGGTCACATGAGCTGAAGACCCGCTTTACATGCTTGTTTCGCGCAGGCTCCCCACCCTCTACTGAACAGCCAGCTGGCCCGTATCCATTCATGGTTGACTCAGACGATGGGAGGAAGGTGCCAGTTGTACAAGCTTATGCTTATGGAAAATATCTTGGTTACTTAAATGTTACATTTGACAAGAAAGGAAATGTAGTTGAAGCAGTTGGAAACCCCATTCTGCTGGACAGCAGCGTTCCTGAAGGTATGTGGACTAGACATTTGAATTTGCCTGCAGCACTCTACTACAATTCAAGTGTCATTATGGTACATACACAGTACAGTGTGGCAGAAGAATTCAGCTTTCTGCCTGAGCTTGCAGTGCTCTTTGGTGTAGGGTTCAGGCTGTGGTACAGTTGTACCCATTTGCCTCGATTTCTCTTTCTGAACAGCAGCCTTTGAATATGCTCAAACTCAGTGTATGTTTTTGTCTATTTATAATCACTGGAAGTCTTTTTGTAGGAACTCGGGTGATACATTACCTTACCATTTAGCAGAGCCCGCTTTAGCTAGCTTTGTAATTATGATTTAAAAGATTATGAGGACTAATTTACGCTGTTTTGCCAGGGGCTGGGTTCTTCAGAACAGAGTTTAAGGCAATATAGGAAAGTGGACATATTCCAGAAAAAAAATTGGAATACTCTGGCAATGTGCAAATAGAATAAACAAACCCGACAGCTTCTTGTTTTCAATACTGAGTGTATTCAATGTTTCAGCTCTGAAACATTTAAAGAACTGGGAGGAGAGTCTTGCTGTTGCTTTCTGTTCGTAACTCTGTCCGAGCTCTGTTACCTGCTTTTTGTCGGCTCTGTAATTACCCGGCGCTGGTTCTCTAGGCTTTGTTTCTTGTCCAGTGTTTGCTGTATGAAGCTCTGAGCTTTTATCAGACTTTCTAGGTTCTACCAGAGTATTTATAAACTAAATCCTTTAAAAATTATGTGTTCATAGATATTATTTACTATGTTATTCTCAGTGATCTATTAATGTAATGAGATGATGTAAAGAGACTTTGCATTCTCTCTCTGATGTCAGTAAAAGTAAAAATTCGGATACATAGGTGTTCTCATTTTATAAATGTTGCTGTTGCTGACAGTTACGTGGCAAATTGCTTAAAACTAATAGCTGATATAAAACAGTTGTGACATTATCTGTCTGTATATACAAGTATCTTTGTATCTGTTTTTTTTTTTTCCTGAAAGAATTAGATTTGCACCTGGCAGACAGAGGTGCATAGAGAATTAATTTCTACAAAGGGTTTATTCCTTGACATTGATATTTGAGCTAGTATTCATTTTAGCACTACATTAAAGGGGAAGAAGCTAGAATTAGAAAAAAAAAAGATATGATGTCAAATAAAGACCAAGCTCACTTGTATATTAAAAATTCTTGTATAGAAGCTCTCATCTGTCAAGGTAGGTGCTAGAAACCCCATCGGTCAGAGGTTAGAACAGGACGGGGCAAAAATATTTTTAAGTGTTATAGAGGAGATGCCCTTGCTGTGGCACAGGAATAGCTTGTTCACTTGATTGTCCCGTCCTGCCTGCTCCCTTTACAGGCTCTGAAGTGAGTAGATGTCATGTTGCTTGAAGAGCCTTTAGGGAAAGTGTAGCATTTTAGAATCATGAACAGCAGGGTTTTTTTTCTCTAAGCTTTGTATTCACTGAAGTGTCATTAATATGAGATATGTGCGATGCTTATTTTACATTTTTATACTACTTTATAGATGAGCACATTAAAGAAGAAGTGGAAAAATGGAGGAAAAACCTGGGGAATTATTCTAAGGAGATTGGAAAAACTAGCGTTTACCTGAACGGTACAAGCCAAGCGTGCCGTTTCCAAGAATGTAACATGGGAAATTTGCTTTGTGATGCTGTGGTAAGACGTTGCCACCGCAGGTGGCAATCACATCTAAGTGTTACTCCAGAGCTATCAGATGAAATGCTCCCAGGCTCTGAACTATCAGCGCATGGGCTCTGTGCTGCTTTCCAGCACCGTAACATCTAGTGCGTCCCTAGAAAGATCTGGCAGAAGCAAGCCTATAATGAATCTTGCTGTATAGAGTAAGGAGCGGTTTATTCTTTGCATATATCCTCATATAGAGAACGGCTTGTTCGCAGCTGTCTCTGAAGCTGCAGTTTTAAGAGAGACAGCCATCTGATCTACGAGCCCATTCCTCAAGCAAGGAGGAGAACTCAGCTCCTCTGCCCCTCTCCTGCCCTGCTACCGGTCCCCTGCTCACGGCACTTACCTTCTGCCCCGTCATTACTCACTGGGCTCTGCTGTCACCCTTTTTTAATGCACTAGCCCAGAAAAAAAAAAAATCCTGGGTAGTTTCCTGCTGAATTGTCCAAAAGGTGCCAGCTGAAGCAAAGGAGGTGTAAAGGCCATACACACAGCCAGGCGCAGAAGAGGTAAAAGCCCCCAGCACCCCAGCCCAGAGGGAGCCACTGGCCCCTGCTGCATCCTGACAGGTATCGCTGGGCTCTAGCAGTCACGGAACACCAGAAGGTCTCTTTACAAGAAGTCACTTCCAGTTTTTAAACTAGCTCGTTTGGATTGTTCTCCTCTCCCTCAGCAGCACCATTTCCTTTGGGTGCTCCAGGGAATAACGTTCACTAATGTGACTTTCCAGAAAATAAGCATTGCCATAAATGTCCTGCAGCATTGCCACAGTCAGGAGCCAATTAATAACCGTGAGTTTTCATTTAGCTATGGCCCCAAAGCTATTTATCCAGTGCATGTGATTGCTTTTATTGTAATCCTTAAAAAAATTCTTAGTTCGTGGGCTAATTTCCAAATTAGATTAAGATTTGGGAATTCTGCATACAGTTCTACTAAAATTGCAGCGCCTTGCTCTTTCTTCCTGCTAGACTTTTTTACATTTTTATTTGAAAAACGTGATCAAATGCTTTGGCACTTTTGAAGCTTAAAGAAAGTAACTCTGTAATCTTTCAGAAGTCTGTAGATTTTCTTGCTATGCATTTTGACTTGAGAGGTCAAATTCTACTTTAGTTAAATCGATGTCTCTAGACAACCATCTGCGGTCATCAGTAGATACAAGGATTACCCTTCATGTTCTTTGCCTTACCAGTTCTACACTTGCTTTCCTGTCTGCTGCCGTGCATTCGGGGGTATGAAGGTAAAAAACAGACCTGCCTGCTCCATGGGCTTTAATACTTAGAGTTGTCCTGGGAAATGTGGAGACTGAGAAATGTGGAAGATATTGATTGATTTGTCCGGGGTCAAAACAGAGGTCCATTAAGTTCAGTGATGCTTCTCCAACAGTAGCCCAAAATCTCAGAATAAAAGGTTGACAGACCCAGATGGCATTTTACAAAGGACTTTAAAGGAACACAAATGTGAAGTGGCTGTGAAATTGCTAACATCAGTGTGTGAGCTCTTGTTTTAAACTGCCTCTATGCTCAGGACTGGACAGCAGCAAGCGCAGTACCACAATTTAAAAATACTTCCGTGGGGAACTGAGGAATTACAGATTTGTAATCCTGATATCTGTTCCAGGCAAATTAGTAAATTAGGGGGTACGGTTCAGACTGAAATCAGCAAACAGAAATAAATCCATTCATTGATTAAGTATGAGTTACGAACTTAGGAGTATCTCACGGATCTGGCTATAGGGAATAACTTTGATGACTAAGCTGGAGCCTCAAAGGATTTACACAGCTGCAAGTCAGAGGCCGCAAACACTTAGCATAGGGGTGCAGCGGAGAAGTGGCCAAACTGCAACAGAGACAGGACCGTCCCTCCCAACATCTTGTATCCAAGAGTGACCAAGGGAGGATGTTGAGGGAAGAGCGTACACCGGGACAAGCCTGTGGAGACACTGTACTCAAATCTGTCCCTGTCTCCCACCAGCCTGCAGCTCAGGGACTTCCCAAGCCAGAAGTGGCATCTTGGTATTTACTAGCTCCCACTGGAACTTGTCTTCCCTGAACTTGCCCCATCTCCCCTTGAACCCCTTCAGCCTTCACAACAGCCGGTGGTAGGGCGTTCCACCGCTGACCTGCATGTCCTGCAGAGACCTTGGTCTTTTGTCTGTGTGCAGCCTGCTGCCCACTGGTGGGATGCCTGCTGGAGGCCAAGGAATAGTTCTTGCGCCAGAACACTCAGTCCCCTGTCCACCTTCTTCACACCACTCATGATTTTATAGGCTTCTCAAATATTTTCCTTCCATTGTCTCTTTACCAAGTCAGACAGCCCGAGCCTACATCATCATTCTGTGTCTTTGACCATCCTTGTCACCCCTCTCTGAATCTTTCTAAGTTTTTCATCATTCTTCAAATGAGAAAACACACTGATTCCTACCCGGCCTCCACATGTCCCTCTTGATTTTATAGACTTCTGTCATGTCCTTCCTGTATTTCTCTCTTTGTGAGACTGAAGAATCATAACCGTAGTCATTCCCGTATGGAAATCAGTCCATCCCTTCCGTTACCCTTGTTTCTTTTCTCAACCTTTTCCTGTTCTACGCAGTTATTTCTGAAGATTAACACTGTAGGCTTATCATCCTTATGCAACTAAGTCCCTGGTCTCCATTTTCTTTACTACTTAGGATGTCTCAAGCAAATATTATCTTGTCCTTGCAACTTGCTTTTGTCAGAGTTTTGCTACTGTTGGAGATCCAGTACTGTACAGAGTAGACTTTTGGGTCTCACCTGATATGCTGGTTTCCTGTTCCTCCACTCTTATACATCTTTCTAGTTTGCCAAGACCATTCCAAATATTAAAGATCAATCTCAGAGAAGCTGAACAATCTTAATCCCCTAAAATGTACAACAAGAGCTAGGTTAATTTATACATTCCCCTACGTGTTTTTAATGTACCTTATTTAAGGCCCTCTTCACTTCCCAATTCTCCAAACATGCTCAAATCATTTGTCTTTATCACAGTGGTTGGAATCAGAAAATCATCCTTCCTTTTTTCAGCTGGCCTGCCCTGGTCATGTCATATACACAGAGACTACGGGAGAGTCCAAGAGTTCATTCCAGAAAAAGGCAAATATTTTTCTTGTTAAAAGTTTAAAAAAAGCAAAATAGTTACTGTAATGTTTTTTGCCTTGTTCTGTAATAATTCAGCATTTTGCAGTGGGGCTGAATGTAATGTCAAAGATGATATAAAACCTTTCTGTCTCTTTTCAGTCTCAGATTGTATTGGGTGTAAATTTCCAGAGCCTAGACTAAGTGAAGATTAAAAATGAGTTTAAACATTTTCCTTTGGTAGCTTTATGAGAATGTCAGACATCCGGATAGAAAGTCATGGAACCATGTTTCAATGTGCATCCTGAATGGAGGCGGGATACGGTCACCCATTGATGAACAGAGCACTAACGGTACGTAAAATTACAAGCCGAATAAGAACTTTGTCAAGAAGGAGGAATCAAGTTGTTATGCAAGCCTGAATCCAGTGTTAGGTATGGGCTTGTTTTGATGGGATTTGCACAGCGTTTGGACGCAATTTCAAACTTTCTCATAATGGTTGTCCACCATGAGAGCACAACTGCACTCAGGCTGACATTAATAGAAGTTACTAGCATTGTTTGTACACAGTGCTTTTTATAATTTTCCTCTCTCCTTGCTGCCTTGGAACAAAGACAGTGGATATTCTTCACCTCCTACTATAGAGGGTCATATGGTGTGGTCACTGGGAGCCTTCTGTAGTCTGCTGTCAAATAAGTGAATTCTAGGGTTTTCTGAACGGTAAGGTTTTGCAGTTTTTATTTTCCTGCTATCACATAAATGAAAACTGAAAACAAACACCTTTTTCAGTTTAGCTAAGTCTTTCTGTAGGACTACATGAGTAAATCTTAAGCAATTGGAAAAATTGCCTGACTCAGTAAGAATATCTGGTTTTCTTCATCTTAGGTTGGTCGTTTGTAGTCTCTTTTAGTAGAGTTACTTGAATAGCAATACACGCTGTACATCAAACTCGGATTTATCGGTCTTGATACGTGTTGGATGATAAAGACGCAGGTTCTTTGGTTTGGATGTGATCCTCACCTCTGCTGGCCCTCATTTTCTCCAATTTTATTTGCCACGTTCCTTGTCAAAAATGTACTGTTAAACAATCCTAAAATAATATTGTAGACTTAAAAAAAAAATTAACGTAAACAAAGTCTCATTCCCCCAGGTAGCATTACTGTGGAAGATTTGCTGTCTGTTTTGCCATTTGGAGGTCGTTTTGATTTGGTAAGGGTGAAAGGCTCCACTCTGAAAGAAGCTTTTGAGCACAGTGTGCACAGATACGGGAGAGGAAGCGGAGAGCTGCTGCAGGTTGGAGGTATGTTCTCTTCCTTCCTCGTCTCAGTTTTCCAAGCCAGCCGTCCCTTCTGTTGGCCTTGTTTGTATTACACCTGGAAACCGCTTTAAGAATGGAAATCAAGTTGGCCATACATCCTAGCTCTGTGCCTCACACCTGCCAGCTAACTGACGCTGTTTATCCTGCATATGTTTGATTGAGCCGCTGCAGCACACAGGCCATCGCTGTTCCCTTCAGCAGAGACAGGAATCCCAGCTGGTTCAGTAACCCGTAATGGTGGCAGTTTAACACTTCAGTTAACTACAGGAAGATAATAATTCAGCATAGCTGTAACACAGTAATCGCTACAACAAACTCCTCTTTGCAGTTCTTCACTGGCAGCCTACCTGAGACCCCAGACTGGATGTCTCTGCCTGTTATTGCCAAAGTTCAGTTTATCAAAATCATTTTGTGCCATTGTCTAATGATTGCTGACAGTTTTAGAGTTAGTCCAAGTGGGCTATGGAATTGCTCCAGTGAATTTCTAAATATTTTAGGGATGAACAGTTAATATTAAAAACATGCGCATTTCTTGAATTGCAGCTGCTCATATATTTATCCAAATGCGTACTAGGCTACAGTCACATTTATTCCTGGTCTCTCCGTGACGCAGTGTGGATTTTATTATTTAGCAGAAAAGCTAAACTTCAAGGGCAGGGGCTGAGGGATTTTCCCCAGCTCCGTGCCTCTCCCCCCACATAGCCTGGCGATGGAGCCACGTCCCTGCCATGCAATCTAGAGCCCCCACATGCCAAGGACACAACCCACGTCTCGCACACAAGGCAAGTGCTTTCACAAGTTATCACGTTCTTGGGTACCGCTAAGGTAAAGCAGCAGCCGCCCCTCCCCTCTGCTTGCTGCCTTCTCACAGAAAAAGAAGATAACTAGTAGCACTGGAAGGGGTTCAGGAGAGAAGATCCAGAGCAGGAAGAGCGCCAGGGTTGGAAGAGCCTCTGTGCTTTGGACTAGCTTTAAATGGCTTCCTGATCAGCAAATTCTTGGCAATGCTTTTCTGGGGGCTTAACTCTCCCCAGGCTTTGACTGAGGAAGGCTCACAACTAGAAACATTACTTCCCCTTCAGCAAGTAGAAACCGCAGCGTTCAGCCCTGGCCTGGCTTTCTTTTTTCAGGACAGTACTTATTATCCATAATAGCTGCCAAGTTAGGGGCACTGGCTGGCTTTAAAAGAAGTCATGTCAGCCAACAAGACAGCAGAATGAGAAAGCACATGACTACAGAAATAAGGGGAGGTATTTTTATCTTGCAGTATTCTAATCCCAAGACTAGTAATTTCCTTCTGTGGAGTAGTGACAAGAAGAGAACAGACGATAAGTAACTGGGGTGGGACAGTACTTCAGCACTAATTCTGAATCTCGTGATTCAGAATCACTAATTCCCTAATCTCGTGAATTTTCCTGGATAAAAGTTGATTATCGTGCAAAGAAAACAGGACATTAAGTGGTCTCACTCAGAACAATATAACCTCTCAGTCACAGAAGCCAACGTAAAGAATCCGTTGAAAATGGTGGAGGAGGATGCTTCTAGCCCTGTATGTTCAATAGGCACTGCATAAAGTGGCATTCAAACGTATTTTCGTAGGCATCCATGTGGTCTATGATCTCTCCAGAGCCCCAGGAAGCAGAGTTGTTAGCTTAGAAGTGCTTTGCACAGCCTGCCGAGTCCCAGCCTACGTCCCACTCCAGATGGATGAAATATACAATGTGACTCTTCCATCCTATATGTTATTTGGAGGAGATGGCTATCATATGCTGAAAGACAAAAATCTGGGATACAGTAAAGGTAAGTATGGGCACCAACAGGGTAGCAGACAAACAATTCCTAAAAGTTAAAAGATCTTTTTATAGTATAAGTCTCAGATTTTCTGCTTTTATTGGATAGATTAAATTTGCTTCTATCTGACTGCTCTGGATTGCTAGTTTTGGTTGTAGCTAGCAACTATATTCTTTTTCAGTTAAATCACAGCAGTTTCAAAGAGAAACTGAGCCTTATCAATTCAGCATTGCTTGGAGAGCAGTTCTGAGATCATGATAAACCAGAAAAGAAGCAAAAACCACACTACAGAGAGTACATATCACGTGTACTACCTTGCACTTGTACTCATTACTAAACAATGCATCAAAAAGAAAGGTACTATTTTCTTTAGATTTCCACTGTATAGAAGTATTTGCAAAGACAGAATCGTCACCTCTGCTGCTGAAGGACATGCAGCTCAGGCGAGCAACACCGAGGGCGAGGGGAAAGGTGCCGACTTGCTCTGCGGGAATTGGCCTGCCCCTCCGACAGCAGCGGGACTCTCACGAGTTCTGCAGGCAGCAGCAGGCAGGGTGCTGACAGACGCCACCCTAGAGAGGTAGAAAGGAAGTGTTTTAAGATCCTCTGAAGTTGCATGCAAACTGTTAGAAATTCAGCATTCGTTCAACTGACATGTACATCTTTTAGGACAAAGGGAAACCTGAAAAAATTTCTGAGATTAAAATTCATTATTTCTGAAAAGACAAAAAGGATGTAGTGCTCTATTTAAAAAAAAAGTCTCTTCTCGGAGCACATCTACATCTTTCAGAACTTTAATGTCATATGTTCTGCTTCTGGATGGTAAAAGCATGCTTTTACCAAAAACACTTTCCTTTTGGACCTTTGTTGCAACTACTTTTTTGGTTCTACAGGGTATTTCAATTTAAAATTGATTCTCACAAGCACGGTTGGTGTTTTAAATCAAATTCAGCCTACAGCTTGTAAATTTGGTGGGGCTGTAGTTTTCAGTAAATATCTGTGTATGCAGAAATAAATTTACATAGAGAGAAATCATTAGGAATAACGAAAGGGAACAACTTGAAAGGTTCTGGCAAAGTCTCCCAGTAGAGCAGAGGGGCAAAACTATAATTACTCTTTAAGATGGAGGTGTTGCCCTTTAGGATTGCAAGAGCTTGGATCAGAAGGGGCTCGTGACATGGTTGGCAGCAGTGACTGAAGAGGGTCTCCCACTGTAGAAAATCCACATCATACGTTGTGTGCATGCAGCAGCAGCACACAGACTAGAAATTCTTCCCCCCAAAAAAAAGTAAAGTTAAATTTGAAAAGGTCTAAGCGGTAGCTTTGCCAGATCTATAGCACTCTACCTCAAACAGGTGGGAGACTGTCTCAATCTACCTAAATCTGACTGGAGGTTACCATTGTAACAGATGCAAAACAAACACAAAAGCGCCAGACGATGCAAAAAGAATTCTTTTTTTGGTAAAATATGAGCTGCTAACCAAAAATTCTGGCTACAAACCACCACAGACATTTTATCTGTGCACAAGAATCAACTCTCCACACCCCTACACTGTCTTAATGTGTACCGATTCAGAATGGCAAACCGTAGAAAACAGTTTAAGACTTGAGCTAAAACTATTTTAGACAGGTTCTTAAATTTTGGTTCAGAGCTTGGCTTCCGCAGAGAACACTGTACCTTTGTTTGTTTGTTTAGGTGAACCTGATACTGAGGTGGTTTCCCGTTACCTCCAGAGAATGACGAAAGTTTACCCAGCAGTTGAAGGTCGAATAAAGTTTTCTTCTGGAAGTCTTACTGAAGGAAGCCTTACCCTCATTTCTGTGTTGTTCACTGTAACATTCTTGCATACTTGATTTTTGCTCGCAGTGTTTTCGTTTGGAGGAAGGCAAGAGGAGCGATGATGCTGACGAAGGGAAATGAGAACTGTTCTCTTTTCTTACACCTTAAAATGAATGAGTGTTTAGGTTTCTGCACGTCGTCAGTAAACGGCACAAGCAATCGTCTTTAATCTGGTAGTCACTGAAGCACACTGTGCAGAATGAGCGGGCAGAATTCACGACTTCTCTTAGTTTGAATCAGCAGGTACCCACAATTCAGTTTGAGGTTTCAAGCAGCAAAGTTCCAGTGAATACTAATGCTCCATCATGAAACAACCACTCACCGAAATGGGGTATTTTTATTTTTTCAAATTCTTTTAGCTTCTTTAGATAGTGAGTCGATTAAGAATCTGATTCCAGTAATGTAAACCAGCTTCTAGAAATAGATTTATTAAAGGTATATATACACCTTCCTTTGATCTACACTCAGGGTTAAAGCTTTCAATTGAATAATTCTACCTTCCTTCCAGTCATATTTATCATACCTACACCAATGCCCGAAAGAGCTGGATTAAACTCCGTGTCATTGAAAGCATGAGGTCCATTTATATGCAATTAAAAAAAGTTTTTCCATTTTACTTTTGTAGATGCAGCATCTCACTTACGTTTTCCACTAATAAAGGATGCAATGAAAGCTTGATTTGATTTTGATCAATTTTAACAAATTGAGTAGGTACACACTTCACTAATTAATATGACCAGTTTGGGGACTGCATCTAGAGCGAGAACACAATCTATGATTATGTTTCATATCAACATGCTCAATTTTACACCTTTTTTCCCCAAGACCAAAGCGCAGGACTCCTGGCCGTTACTCTCTATCAGCAATGTTCAGAGAGAACGTCGGATACACGCGTCGACTCCTGCAGCACTGTGGCAGCCTTTGGAAGTCGCCCAGTAATGGGGCTTTTTACAGCATTCCCTGGCTTTATCATAATTGTGATCAAAAGCCCATCTCCTCTAAGGGAAGGCTGCATTTAAAAAAAATATACAGTTGTAAGAGAGAGGCTAATGAGCATAAATTCAGAAATCAGCTTAAATGTCAAGTCTACATTTCTGACACTTTACCAAGAAGTGATTGCTTATAAATGAGTGCAAACGATTTTTTTTTTTTTTTTTTAAAGATTGTTCACATTTGGAATTTTGACATCAACGTGTTTCCATATTGTTTACTGCTGTATTAAACTGATTCCTAGTGTTTTGAATAAACCTGCTTTGTTTTTCTGGAAAGCGCACTACACTCTTTTTCAGACCCAAGCTGCTCGCCTCTTAAATTCACTGCACCTGCAGATTTCGAGGAGAAGGTGCACGAAGACAAACATTCAGTATGTTTAAATTTCAAGACCTCATTAGTTTCCACATAAATTCAAGGGTTGCGCGTGAAAAGATCTGGAGTACACAGCTGCATTGGGTAAGCTGCGTTAGAACAGGGAGACAAACAACAACGGACCTTGACACGCTGCTAGTTATAACACGGCATTGATGATTCGTCAATACCAGCCCCTGAAGTTAGTAGTTTACAGAATGGTCTTCCCCAAATCAACGTAAAACCAGTAACAGGGAGTGCGCTTACGGACCGAGCTGTACCTGCACGCCAGTTTTTAAAGAGTTACGATGACTCCTTCGGCATATCCAGAGAGAAATAACACTTCACCTTCTTCTGACAAACAGAAGGAAAAGGTACGCAAAAGTAATACAGATACAATGCAAACTGTATTGACAGAAAACACGAATACTGCATTAGATTGGTTGGTTTATAAAAGGAGAAAACGGGTGTTGTCTGAAAAGAAAAACTGAGGAACGCCTATTCAAAGATCTCTGTATTGTTCTGTGAGTAAAACTTGTTAAAAATCCACGCATGAAAGTCCTTTTCAAAGTCTCTTTTATAAAGGCTGGGCCAACAAATTAAGATTTACAGGAAAAATCTTCCACATATTTTTATACTAATAAATTTTTAGAAAATGCTATGAACAGACTCACATCCTCTTTTCTAAGCCTGTAGAGAGGATGTTGGAAAAAACCCGACCAACCCAGATAAGAAATCGCAGAAAAATAAAGGCTAAGGTAAAAGTCAAAACCACTTTTCGCACCCATTATTATTTTAAGAGTGCTTTAGATTTGAAGGTCAGATATTAAATAAACTAAATTACACACATGATTTTCCATGCTTGCGGAAAGCATGAAGGCCAAAGATAGTTCTGAGATTATTTGTCTGCAATAGATTCAATCATGTAATTTTGTTTTTAAAAAAATCAGTAAGATTTGTTAAGACAGTTAAAAATAACTTCATGGGAGCATTCTACAACTTCTCCCAAACAATTTTTCTATTAGAGAGAAATAACACTTCACCTTCTTTTGACAAACAGAAGGAAAAGGTACGCAAAAGTAATACAGATACAATGCAAACTGTATTGACAGAAAACACGAATACTGCATTAGATTGGTTGGTTTATAAAAGGAGAAAACGGGTGTTGTCTGAAAAGAAAAACTGAGGAACGCCTATTCAAAGATCTCTGTATTGTTCTGTGAGTAAAACTTGTTAAAAATCCACGCATGAAAGTCCTTTTCAAAGTCTCTTTTATAAAGGCTGGGCCAACAAATTAAGATTTACAGGAAAAATCTTCCACATATTTTTATACTAATAAATTTTTAGAAAATGCTATGAACAGACTCACATCCTCTTTTCTAAGCCTGTAGAGAGGATGTTGGAAAAAACCCGACCAACCCAGATAAGAAATCGCAGAAAAATAAAGGCTAAGGTAAAAGTCAAAACCACTTTTCGCACCCATTATTATTTTAAGAGTGCTTTAGATTTGAAGGTCAGATATTAAATAAACTAAATTACACACATGATTTTCCATGCTTGCGGAAAGCATGAAGGCCAAAGATAGTTCTGAGATTATTTGTCTGCAATAGATTCAATCATGTAATTTTGTTTTTAAAAAAATCAGTAAGATTTGTTAAGACAGTTAAAAATAACTTCATGGGAGCATTCTACAACTTCTCCCAAACAACTTTTCTACGTATCCTTTAAGGAAGACAACAGTAATTGCTCTTTTAGCAAAGCATACGTTGGCTGGTCTCCCAGCTGCCTTATTTTATGTCATCCTGTAATTTCACACGCAGAGATTTTGGGGAAATTAATTCGACTTTTACTGATAACAGCTAAAACAAATTTTAAATAAAAAGTACAGATATATTCTTTACTTATAGTTGGTATTAAACTTTGATGTCTTTATTGCATAAAGAGATTTTTTTAGAACTTAAATTTTATGTTATTTACAAGAAAATATACAATGCAAGGTTAAAATGTCACATGTCCATTACAATAGTGCACAGCGGGTGTTTCTACTGGGTGTCCAGCAAGGTCCCTGCATTCACATCCAACATGACACAGAGCTAGCTTCCTTCGGACCCTGCCAAACAGTCATAGAGAAGAAAAAAAAAAAAAAATCACTTTTTAAGTATGTAGATATGCATTTTCATATAAATGACTGAACTAAGCTGCAACGATTAATGGTATTTGAAAACATCCACTTGAAACCAGAGTTAAGAGAAAGGAAGGCTACTGCTCTCAGGCTTTTAATACTACTTCTCAAAACAGGTACTTTCTTCTTTCTCTGGAAGTTCTCACCTCCCCCATTCCTAACTGCTAAATACAATATTCTTAAGACAGCAATTTTCTGCTCTGGAAATGGCACTGGCAAGATATTTTTTCAACTGGATTTCTTTCCTTCCTTTGCTAGGAATGCTGCTTCTCTCTCAGCTGTCCCTTTTCCTTCTATCCTGTCTGACAGAGTTCCAAGGGGCTGGCTGTACATTGTATCAAAGGCAAAACTCCTATGTTAGGTGTTTTTCAGCTCGTATCCTTAGAACTTGTTCACTTACGCGTGCTGCCACTAAACACAGCTTATCTGAAGTGATCCAGTATATATCCGCATTGGTACGTGTAGCAGGATATACCTTCAAGATATCAGATCTCAGGAGCGGGAAGCAGACGGACATCCCCGCTAACGAAAATATTCCCATTTCTCCCATGGCTGTTTCCCCTGCTGAAGAAGGGGTGCTCAAAGCAAAACTTCCAGGATGCTCAGTTTTCCCTTTAAATGCTGACCGACTGAACTGAAATATTTTTCTGTTCTTCACTGTAACTACAAACACATTTTGGTATCAAGCAACTCAAAAAGGACTAATCTCTGCTGACGAGAGAGAACAGTCACTGGAGTGTTACCACCCCCACCCCCAGTATAACTAAGAACCAGTCATTACTTTTATACTTGCCCATTACAATCGTTTGGAGGAAACAATTCTTCTCCCAAATGGCTTCACAGTCAGTTTGCAGTGATTTGAGGGAATTGGTTTTTTTGTTTGTTTAGGGCTCCAGATGAAAACCGCTGCCCTCTGCCCATCCCCTCTCCACCTTGCTTTTCCCTTCTCATAGTGACCCCTCCCTCAGCTGCCTCACTCAGTCCATCACAGTCCTAGTACACTCACAACCAGGTCCCACTGTCAAACATCACCACAGAAGCAGTACTTCGTTTCTGTATTTCTCTTGGTACATCCAAAATAGGAAAATGGCTGAAGTTCCTGGTTGGAGTATTTTCTCTCCCTTTCCTCTATCGAAATCTGGGCCAATGACTTCCCTCGCTCTGCTCCCATCAGCTTCAGTCACAGGGGACAGGGGGAGCCCAGGCCTCAACTCTGCTGTTTCACCAAGACCAACAGTAGCATTAGAGGTCCCTCCTCTGCAGGTGGTTTTTTGAAACGCTGCAGAGCAGTCAGGCAGTGTCACAGTTACACAGAACAAAAGGATGGATTAAGAAGTTGTACGAACCATAATCTTGATTTAAATTAAATAATCTCTTCTTGATTTGTTTTCAAAGAAAAAAATATTTCACCCCATTAAATATACACACTGTTATAGAATCACAGCATGGGTGGGGTTAGAAGGTGCCTCTGGAGGTCATCTGGTCCAA